CATTATTCATTTTTAATTGACTCTTTTTTATTTCTTCTAGGTCTTTACTAAACATTTCTTGCATCTTTTCAGTCTTTGTCTCCAGGCTATTTATCTATAACTCCGTTTTGTTTTCAAGATTTTGGATCATTTTTATTATCATTATTCTAAGTTCTTTTTCAGGTAGATTCCCTATCTCCTCCTCTTTTGTTTGACTTGGTGGGCATTTTTCATGTTCCTTTACCTGTTGGGTATTTCTCTGCCTTTTCATCTTGTTTAGATTGCTGTGTCTGGAGTGGGCTTTCTGTATTCTGGAGGTCTGAGGTTCCTTTTTATTGTGGAGGTTTTACCCAGTGGGTGGGGTTGGACGATTGGCTTGTCAAGGTTTCCTGGTTAGGGAAGCTTGCGTCGGTGTTCTGGTGCGTGAAACTTGATTTCTTCTCTCTGGAGTGCAATGGAGTGCCGAGTAATGAGTTTTGAGATGGGTCTATGTGTTAGGTGTGACTTTGGGCAGCCTGTATGTTGACGTTCAGGGCTATGTTCCTGCGTTGCTGGAGAATTTGCGTGGTATGTCTTGCTCTAAAACTTATTGGCTCTTGGGTGGTGGTTGGTTTCAGTGTAGGTATGGAGGCTTTTGGACAGTCTCTTATTACTTAAAGTTCCATGTAGTCAGGAGTTTTCTGGTGTTCTCAGGTTTTGGGCTTAAGTCTCCTGCCTCTGGATTTCAGTTTTATTCTTCCAGTAGTCTCAAGACTGCTCCAACTATACAGCACTGATAATAAAACTTCTAGGTTAATGGCAAAAAGACTCTCCCCCATTAGGGACACCCAGAGAGGTTCACAGAGTTACATGAAGAAGAGGAGAGGGAGGAGGGAGATAGAGATGAGCAGGAGGAGAAAAAGGGGGGCTCAAGAGGAGAGAGACAGATCTATGCAGTTGTCTGTTCCCAGAGTGGTCTCCGTAGCCCAGACACCCACAAAGATTCATGGAATTGGATTGGGAAGAGAAGGGGAAAGGAGGAAATAGAGGTGTTCTGAGGTAGAAAATGGAGAGTCAAGATTGGGAGAGAATAATCAATACACTCCTGAATAAAAATGGGAACTGAATCTTGGATTCTTAAATGTCCACAATTTATATCATATACTGAAAAACAAAGATTAAAAATCTAGAGTAGAGGTTAGACTCTTAAAAATACTATATTAAAAACAAAAATCAAAACACACACAAAAAATTTTAGAAATATATATGAAGTTCGGTTTAAAAATAGGGCTTCTCTCTCTCTCTCTTTTTTTTTTTTTTTGGTAAGTTTATAGTGTAATGAAAATGAAGATTAAGGAGTAGTAGAGGAGTAATAGAGGACTTTAAAAGGAAATAAGAGAAAAAGAAAAATAGAAAATAGAAGACAAAAAGGAAAAAAAAGAGAAAAAAAGGAAAAAAAATTTTTCCTAATTAAAAAAATCGTAAAAATCTATGAAAATGAAAGTTAAGGAGTAATGGGGGAGTAATAGGGAATTTTAAAAGAAAACAAAAGAGAAAAAAGAAAAAAAAATTTTTTAATTTACTTAAAAAAAAAAAGGTAAAAATATATCTAGGAATTTCTCTGGAGCTGTTGCGGTCAGTGTGGGTTCGGTTCAGTTTCAGATAGCTCCTTGTTCCAGCTTACACTTCTTGATATCTACAGGCCTCTTCTGGTGTAGTCGGTGTCACCTACAGGGATTTTAATCTGTTGCACAGGTCCCTTCTGAAGCAGTTCCCTTTGTTTGTTTGGCTTCTGTTTGCTGGTCTCTTCAGTGCCTAATTTCCTCCCTGACACAGGCGGGCAGAGGTGGACTCTTATTCAGGTTGCTAGTTCCGTCGCGCTGCGGGGAGGGGCAGGTGCTGCTTTCCCCTTTACGCTGCTCAGGCTCCCGGCTGTTCTATATGGAGCGTGCCCTGCGCTGCGCGTGGTTCCAGCCCTCGGGTGTTCCACAAAAGCCCTGAACAAAAAGCTGTGCCCGCTTTCTGTGCTCTCCCCGTCAGAGCGGCTCAGGCAGCCAGGGGCTTGACGGGCGCACTCTCCCCAGGTGCGGCGCGCCTTCTGCCCTCCGCGTCCCCAGCCCCAGTCCCCGCCTGCGCTGGTCGGGTGCCTGCACCCTGTGTTTCGCCACGACCCTCCCGGTGGATGTTGACCATCCAGAATCTCAGGAGATCTTTGATTAGAGACTTGAGGCCTGTTTGCAGTGAGGTAGGGGCTGCAGTCCTTGGGGCCGAGCCTGCCCCTTTCCCCTCCCTCCTGCCTCCAGTCTCCAGCGGGGCTGGGCCGGTCCTTAGCCTGCAAGCTCTTCTCTGGACTTGCTCGGTCCCTTTGTTCTGTGAAAGGCCGGCAATGTGTTCGGGCCGGTTAATTTTCTCTCTCTCTTTTGCTGTCCCACAGTTTAAGTTGGCAACTCACAAAAGCTCCCTCCAAGTGTCCTCACGGCACTCAGGCCCGGTCCTTACCCTAAGCAATGCCGCCCGCTCCTCTACGTTCCGCCCCCACTTGCTGGTGGCGGATGCAGGTGTCTGGGGTACTTTTCTGCTGGGAGTTGCTTTTAGGCACGTAATCTGTGGGTTTTATTTATTGCTCCCCTCCCAGTCAGGTTGCCCTCCAAGATTCAAAAACTTCCCCCAGACCCGCCAGTGCAAGACTCCCTTCCTGGGACGTGTCTCTCTCCTTAGCTGTTTTGTCTCTCTTTTTACTTTTATGTTTTGTTCTACCTCCTTTCGAAGACAATGGGTTGCTTTTCTGGGTGCCTGATGACCTCAGCTAGCGATCAGAAGTTGTTTTGTGAAGTTTGCTCTGCGTTAGGTTATTCCTTTGATGAATTTGTAGGAGAGAAAAAGGTCTCCCCGTCCTATTCCTCCGCCATCTTGGCTCCTCCTCCATGCCTTGGGTTTTAAACCCAAGGTTAAATTGGGTTTACCCAATTTAAAAAAGACAGCAAAGTCTACTTTGACAATTTTCAAGATTCTGTTTTCAGGACAAAAAGAATTTGATATTGGCACTATTTTTCTGGAACTGTTCAGTTCAACATGACCTGCGTCAGGCTGACACAGGACAATGCGAACTGAGTGACTCACAAACGAGTCTTGTTTGTCTACCTAAGGAAGCTGCTGTGACAGACTGTCCTCCGAGCACTAGTGGCCCAGAATCCTGTTCCATGGGGACCATTCAGAAGTAAAAGCCAAGCAATGTGTCAGTGATAGACACAGGCCACCCTGAGACATTCAAATAAAGGATCCAGTCATTGCTCTCCTCACGAATTCTCACAAACAGCATCTCCTTTGGAAATGTAGACTCATGGCTGTAGCTTCCAACACAGAGGTATTGAGAGTCTTAGGTCCTCACACAGAGCTGAGGGAACCAGAAAATCCTATAGCACCTGATTCTACCTGAGTCTGCAGAGGAAAAGTTTTTCTAAGCATCACTCAGAAAAAAAACACAAAGTCACACTTTTTTCATACTGTCCACCATCTCAAGTGAATATTTTTTTAAAAAACTCCTTTGACTAACTTGTTTTATATATATATAGAGAGAGAGAAAGTGAGACAGACAGACAGAGACAGAGAGACAAAGACAGACACAGATAGAATTATGGTAGAACATGCACCAGATTGAAAAAACTGAGTTTCAGTTATTTCATATCACTGATTTAGGCATAGAAGTCTTATCAAATTCTTATTGTCTTAAACTGAGCTATTAACTCTCTGAACAACATATATATTATTTTTCTCCTTGGTAATTTTTTTTGACTTAAGTATTCTTTGAAAGTTAATTCACTTGTTGCCAGGATCAATTCTAACAGCTGATTCTAACATTCTTCAACAGGTAACTTGGGAACTGCAATTATGTAACAGTTCTTGAAGCAGCTCAACTTCATGATATTCTTTGGAGGAAATTCTAATGGTTAGTACTAGTGGGGAAGAAGTTGTTCTCCTATCTAGATCAGCTGGGAAGAATCAGAGTGAGATGGACATTCCCTCCCAGATACTAACCCTGAACATACATGTCCAAAAGTAGGGTCCCCATTGCTTTCTTAAAGTCCTGGCCCATGTGCACTGCGTTTTTGCAAACAATCTGCACTTTCACAGTGAGATTCTTCATCCCACTGCTCCAAGCAGTATAGACTGCAGCCATTGGTTTACATCTCAACACAGAAGACCTTTATTTCACTTTGCTGAAAGTTGACCCGTCCCACCTCCCCCTGGCTCTGTCCACACCTCTGCCCCCACCAGGGGATTTGCATGTTGTTCCTCAGGGAGGACCTTCCCTTCCAAGTCTGAGATAAAAGCTCAGCTCTTGGTTTTGCTCTGACTAATCAGGACTCCTCAGTTCACACTGCTGAACATGTGGTTCCCTGCTCAGCTCCTGGGGCTGCTCCTGCCCTGGGTCCCAGGTAAGGATGGAGAGGGGTCGAGAAGGAGGATGGGGGGTGAGCTCTGGGGGCAGCACTGCTCTCCACGTGTGTTCTCTGTTAGATGTGTGTGCCTTGTCCTGCAGATGGGCATGGGAACCTTAGGTCTATGAGAGTGAGGAATGTTCCAGAAGGAAGAAGGTCCTGTGTTCAGGTCAGAACTGTGACAAGGGAAGTGGGGATGATGAAGGGGGTGTTGAGAGTTCTCTCTACACTTCACAGATATCAAATTCATTATTGTGATTGTACAATTTTGCGGTATGATTACAGATAATGAGTAATACAAAGTATTATTAATATTTTAGCTAAAATAAATCAGAAAATGAAAACAATAAAACTGGTTGTTAATATTTGTATCTTCCTAATTCTCTTTCATTCCTTTAGGATCCAGTGGGGATGTTGTGCTGACCCAGACTCCACTCTCCCTGTCTGTCATCCCTGGAGAGACGGCCTCCATCTCCTGCAAGTCTAGTCAGAGCCTGGTACATAGTGATGGAAAAACTTATTTGAATTGGATTCAACATAAACCACGGTCACCACAGGGTCTGATCTATCAGGTTTCCAACCATTTTCTAGGGTCCCAGACAGGTTCACTGGAAGTGGATCAGGGACAGATTTCACACTGACAATCAGCAGAGTGCAGGCTGAGGATGCTGGAGTCTATTACTGTTATCAAGGTACAGAAGATTCTCCCACAGTGATACAGCCCTGAACACAAACCTCCCTGTCTGGCTGGCTCAGCTGCTCAAAGTGCAGCTTCTCTGGGGAACTGACAGCAGATGCTCTGAGTCTGTGTAAGAGGAAGATGGTGGCAATCTCAGGGGAAGAGTTTGCAGTGAGGGCTCTGGACCATGAGTTTCTTGTCTGCCCCACAGGTACCATGTTTTAAGTCTAGATCAGTGGCACAGCGTGGTCCTGGCAGAAGCAGCAGAGGCTGTAGGGGGTTCTGTGACCCGTAGCAGCCAGTTCTGTGAAAGGGGGGCTGAGTGAAAGGTCAGCCTCCTCCATCCTGCCTTGTCTATATTTGTCAATTAAATGCATCTAGTTTAATAACCATAGGCAATTTTGGAAAATAATACATAATATTTTAGAAAATAAAACTTCAGTAAACATTAGTCAAACTGGAAAAGGATCTTAAACGTTTGCAATTTTATGTCATCTAATGTCTAATTTTTCCAGTGTTGTATAGAAAGTGAATACTTTAATGTTCTAAAAATATCTCTGAATAAATAATTGGCTAGCGAGTTACGTGTCATGACATGCTATGATAGAAGTAAAATAATTCCAGATTGCTAGGACAATATAATACTCTTTCTGGTTAAAGAAGTAAACATATTAGACATGATTTTCTATTTCAGCATAATGGGTTCCATAGCGATTGCAATTAAAATTGTATCCTTAATTAGTGTGTATGCATGCTAAGTTGCTTCAGTCGTGTCTGACTTTGTACAGCTCTATTGACTGTAGCCTGCCACGCTCCTATGGCCACGGGATTCTCCAGCAAGAATGCTGGAGTGGGTTGCTAAGCCCTCCTCCAGAGGATCTCCCTGGCCCAGGGGTCGAACTCCCACCTCCTGCATCTCCTGCATTGACAGACTGGTTCTTTACCACTAGCACCATCTGAGAAGCCCATACTTAACTAGAAATTCCCTCAGAATCATCCATATACAAGGCTTCTAACACATACAGAAACAAATGGCAAATTTCAGTTGTATTTCTGTACATATTCACAATGAAGACACACATCCATCCAAAATTCTCTTGATGTTTTACTACAATCACCAATGTGGAAACTGGAGACACTGCACATACTTCTGTGAGCAGGCCACTCACTGGACCCTGCACAGCATAATGGCCCCGAACATAAGCTTTCCAGAGGCTCAACCCTCAGGGTGGCAGGAGCAGCAGCGGTGCCCAGAAGACAATCTGTCCCCAGGCTGGGCTCAGGTGGAAATGTCTGTGGAGCCTGAGGAAGACACCACAGTCGTGGGGGCCTATGCCTGAGCGCCTCTTCTGTGTAAACAGGGGTCAAGGCATCACTAGAACAGCCTCCCTGAGCTCCATGTTTCTCCCCATAAGGATGCTCACACTCTGTATTCTCTCCAAGCAATGGCTGCCGGGTCTCCCAGGAGCACCTACTAAGGTTCCCTACTGACCTCATGGCTGCACAGAATTTCAGTCATGTCGCTGGGAGGACACCCTAGTCTGGTTGTGACATCACCACTGCCACTTAATCCCTTCAAGGCACTCACTTCATGACTTTACCAGCAGATCATCTCATTAATCAACTGGAGAACAAAAAGTTGCCTGCACTACAGTGGTTTTGAGCAGCTGAAAGATCACATATGTAAGGGACCATAATACCATTGTCTAAAAATCCTCTTTGACTTTCCTCATCCCTGAATTCACTGAGTAATTACTCAAAATGCTTATCCACTGTCAAAATTTTCTCTTGCAAAACTAGTAATGTGCACTTCTTGCTGCTTTTTTAACTTAATTTTTATTGGAGTATAGTTGATGTGCAATGTTTTATTAGTTTCTGCCATACAGCAAAGTGAATTAGTTACATATATGTATACATATATCTACTCTTTTTGATTTTTTTCCCATAGAGGTCATTATAGAGTATTGAGTAGACTTCCCTGTGCTATACAGTGGGTTCTTATTATTAATAATTATCGACTTTATAAATGGGCTCTATCCCTGGGTTGGGAAGATCCCCTGGAGGAGGGTGTGGCCACCCACTTCAGTAATCTTGCCTGGAGAATCCCCATGGACTGAGGAGCCTGGCAGGCCTACAGTCCACACGGTTGCAAAGAGTCAGACACAAGTGAAGCGACTGAACATGCACTTTACATATATTAGTGTGTATATGGCAACCCCAGTTTCCCAGTTTATCCTTCCACTCCTTCTACCCTTGGTAATCATAAGTTTGTTTTCTCTGTCTGTGACTCTATTTCTGTTCTGGAGGTTCATTTGTATCATTTTTTAAGATTCTACATGTAAGCGACATCATATGATATTTGTCTTTTGCTGTCTGACTTGCAAAAAGCTTTTACACAGCAAAGGAAACCATAAACAAAGCAAAAAGCTGTCCTCAGAATGGGAGAAAACATTTACAAATGAAGCAATCGACAAGGGATTAATCTGCAAAATATACAGAGAGCTCATGCAGCTCAATATCAAAAACAAACAAACAACCCAGACAAAAAGATGGGCGGGAGATCTGAAGCTAAGAATATGCATTTTCCCACCCTGAGATGATTCTAGTGCTACAAGCTGCACCTATGTCACTGTACCTGTGTTACAGTCTGCATGACCCTGTCCCTCTTCATGAAAGACTGTTGTGTTTTACTGTAACCTTTTAAAAAATTTTACTAGTACATCAGAGTGGGAGCTAAGGTGATTGATTGCAATTCATCTTTACTACACAAGTTTATTGTTATGAATTCAGCTTTCTTTCCTCCCACAAGTTTTGATACACAATATTTTTTTTTTCAATTCACAATGAGCTCTACTTTTCTCTTTGGGTTCTTCTTTGACTCTAGCTTTTTTTTTCTATTCATTTTTCTTAGATGGAGGCTAATCACTTTACAACATTGTAGTGGTTTTTGTCATCCATTGACATGAATCAGCCATGGATTTACATGTATTCCCCATCCCGATACCCCCTCCCACTTCCCTCTCCACCCGATTCTTCTGGGTCTTCCCAGTGTACCAGGCCCGAGCACTTGTCTCATGCATCCAGCCTGGGCTGGTGATCTGTTTCACCCTAGATAATATACATGTTTCAATGCTGTTCTCTCAAAACATCCCACCCTTGCCTTCTCCCACAGAGTCCAAAATTCTCATGGGTTGGAAGAATCAATATTGTCAAAATGGCTATACTAGCCAAAGCAATCTATAGATTCAATGCAATCTTTACCAAGCTACCAACAGTATTTTTCACAGAACTAGAACAAATAATTTCACAATTTGTATGGAAATACAAAAAACCTCGAATAGCCAAAGTAATCTTGAGAAAGAAGAATGCAACTGGAGGGATCAACTTACCTGATTTCAGACTATACTACAAAGCCACAGTCATCAAGACAGTATGGTACTGGCACAAAGATGGAAATATAGATCAATGGAACAGAATAGAAAGCCCAGAGATAAATCCACGAACCTATGGACACGTTATCTTCGACAAAGGAGGCAAGAATATACAATGGAAAAAAGACAAGCTCTTTAACAAGTGGTGCTGGGAAAACTGGTCAACCACTTGAAAAAGAATGAAACTAGAACACTTTCTAACACCATACACAAAAATAAACACAAAATGGATTAAAGATCTAAATGTAAGACCAGAAACTATAAAACTCCTAGAGGAGAACATAGGCAAAACACTCTCTGACATAAATCACAGCAGGATCCTCTATGACCCACGTCCCAGAATATTGGAAATAAAAGCAAAAATAAACAAATAGGACCTAATGAAACTTAAAAGCTTTTGCAAAACAAAGGAAACTATAAGCAAGGTGAAAAGACAGCCCTCAGATTGGGAGAAAATAATAGCAAACGAAGCAATAGACAAAGGATGAGACTCTAGCTTTTTTAAAAAAGCAGTTTTTTATTTATTTTCCAAATACTTGAAGATTTTTCTATTTGCTTTCTGTTACTGATTTTGAATATTACTTCCTTGTTTTTGTAGAATATACTTTATACGGTTAGAATTCATTTAATTTTATTGACTGTCTTGTGACCCACAGTATGCCCTATCTTAGCTTTGGTTTAGAAAGAAATCCATATTTGATTACTGTTCACCCATGTGTTCCCTGAGTGTCAGTTATGTCCTGATGGCTGCTGTCTCTGATCTGCTCTCTGTGTCCTCACTGGCCCAGGAGGCAGGGCTGCTTGAACCATAGGCTAAACCTACTGCAGAGCCCTTTGCTTTTCTGGCCCCTCTGAAACTCAGCAGATTCCATGTCCCCTGGCCCATGAGTCAGACCAGTGTTCATAGATGTGGAATGTGTGGATTTTAGTAGTCAATGATGCTAACAAGCAATTCCTTTGTCACACATTTAACTCACAAGGAAATACTACCCCCATCTTGCTTACGGAGTCCACCTGAGAGCTCTCTTATCATTTTGGGGAAAGACTTCATATGATTTGATGCCAACTGTAGAACAGGGTGCTTCCAAATACAGTCTGGAATGTACCTCCAGCTAGAGGAAATCAGCCACCAGACCACCACCAGAATGTTACCAGGAAGCCCGGAAAGAGTTCCCAGATCATTTTCAGATGACTTTGTTTATTCTGAGGCAATTTGGGGGCTTGTGTTCTAGTTAGGAGGGTTTGACCTTTGAAATTATAGTTTCTGTACATATATTAATATTTTACTTATTAATACTTTCACCTGGTCATTATGTCAAAGCACACTAGGGGGCAGTCAAGTCAAAATTTTAATAGACATCTTTCTCCTGTTGCTAGTTCCGGTCCAAAGACTATTGTATTTGTCTATCACGTTGTAGTGTGTGCTAAATCGCTTCGGTCGTGCCCGACTCTTTGCAACTCTACGGACTGTAGCCCACTAGGCTCCTCTGTCCATGGGATTCTCCAGGTAAAAATACTGGAGTGGGTTGTCGTGACTTCCTCCAGGGTATCTTCCCCACCCAGCGATTGAAGTCACATCTCCTGCATTGGCAAGCGGGTTCTTTACCACCAGGGCCTCCTGGGAAGCCCCTATCACATTGTAGATTAAATGCTAAAAGGGTGATTATTCAAATTACACCTCCTCTCCCTCCTCTCTTTCTGTCTCTCTGTCTCTCTCTGCCAATGTTAACACTGAAACAAATTTTGTTAAAAGATTTTTCATTATTTCTTTTTTTTCCTGTATGTTTTCAGTGTAGATTGAACTATCATTAATACCAACGCTAAAAGTTGGAAACAAAGGTAAATTACTTTACTGAATTTGGAAACTTCTGCAGCAAGCCACGAACTACAACAGTTGGTTGCTCTTGTCTGTAGGGTAACCAAAATTGTTATTGACTTGCAAATATTTGCTTTATTTTTTTCCGCAGAATTAATCCATTTCTCTTCTTCATTTTGTTTAAGTAAATCGTTTTGGTGCAATCAGATTTTTTGGGATAATATATGAATCAGCCAATTCTCATAACTCGTTTCAAACTGTGCCTAGTGCTTCTAGAATTTCAGAATATGAGAGCGCCAATCTCTGGATTGAAGATGTTCCCAATTTACTAGAGAAATAATATGAAGTATGAGGAGAGTATGTCTGAGGAAGTTTGTAATGAGTTGTCATAGCCCAGAGATCTTTGTTAAGGTTTATAATTTATTCCTGTGACTGTTCTAGGGAATTCCGAATTGACTATATTATTACTTTTTTAAATTTCTAGTTCTTATTCTCTGCACATCCTAATAGGTTTTTTAGAAGAATGTACATGAAAATTTCTGGAAGCACTGAAAGCTGAGGCTCTTGATACTTCAAAGAGCATTTAACTTTGGGTGATCCATGGTTCCTGGCCAAAGAAACTAAGCAGATATGAAATTCACTCCTGTGAACCTGCTGCTCCTCTAAAGCCGAAAATCACCACTTTCACTTACTGATGCAGAAGCTGTACACTTACTTCAAGGAAAGAAATGACCACTAGCTATTTCATTCAATCCTTTCACTTCATTCATTCATTCAGAAATCCTATTTCTGAACTTACAATTTGGGTAACTGGAGATGAAAATCATTAAAGATCATTTTGATTGCTTTCAAAAATCAGTTTAAGTGATTTAATAATCTTGTTTTTTCCAGTGAGTCTTAATTGTTTTTTCTAAAAATCTGTATTACAATTTTATAGATTTCTGAAGCTGTTGAAGATGAAATAAAAAGAATCCTAAGGTTCTCAACTTTTGTCTCAGTTTATCTTCAATTGAGTACCTTACACAGGTTTGATATGCAAAAATGAAGACAAATCATCACTAGCAGATGTTTCCTATAAGAAATTTAAGAAGAAATCCTCATGTTGATGCTGGCCAGAAACCAACACAATATCGTAAACAATTATCCTTTCATTTAAAATAAACAAATTTTCATGTGTTTGTTAGCCATCTGTATGTCTTCTTTTTTTTTAAATTATTATTATTTTCATTTATTTTTATTAGTTGGAGGCTAATTACTTTACAACATTGCAGTGGGTTTTGTCATACATTGAAATGAATTAGCCATGGATTTACATGTATTCCCCATCCCGGTCCCCCCTCCCACCTCCCTCTCCACCCGATCCCTCTGGGTCTTCCCAGTGCACCAGGCCCGAGCACTTGTCTCATGCACCCAACCTGGGCTGGTGATCTGTTTCACCCTAGATAATATACGTGTTTCGATGCTGTTCTCTTGAAACATCCCACCCTCGCCTTCTCCCAGAGTCCACAAGTCTGTTCTATACATCTGAGTCTCTTTTTCTGTTTTGCATATAGGGTTATCGTTACCATCTTTCTAAATTCCATATATATGTGTTAGTATACTGTAATGGTCTTTATCTTTCTGGCTTACTTCGCTCTGTATAATGGGCTCCAGTTTCATCCATCTCATTAGAACTGATTCAAATGAATTCTTTTTAATGGCTGAGTAATATTCCATGGTGTATATGTACCACAGCTTCCTCATCCATTCATCTGCTGATGGGCATCTAGGTTGCTTCCATGTCCTGGCTATTATAAACAGTGCTGCGATGAACATTGGGGTGCACGTGTCTCTTTCAGATCTGGTTTCCTCGGTGTGTATGCCCAGAAGTGGGATTGCTGGGTCATATTAGCCATCTGTATGTCTTCTGTGGAGAAATGTCTATTTAGTTCTTTGGTGCATTTTTTTACTGGGTCATTTATTTTCTGGAAAGATGCTCAACATCACTCATTATCAGAGAAATGGAAATCAAAACCACAATGAGGTACCATTACATGCCAGTCAGGATGGCTGCTATCCAAAAGTCAACAAGCAATAAATGCTGGAGAGGGTGTGGGGAAAAGGGAACCCTCTTACACTGTTGGTGGGAATGCAAACTAGTACAGCAGCTATGGGGAACAGTGTGCAGATTTCTTAAAAAACTGAAAATAGAAAGCCCCGCGGGCGTCATCGCCAGACGAGCTCGCCGAGATGGCTGCCGCCAGTCAAGGTGCACACGTTTCATATTCCAGAAGGTTGGAAAACTGGCTGCAACGGCTGTGGGAGGTGGATTTTCTCTGCTTCAGCTTTCAAACCATACTGGCTACATCAAAGTGGACTGGCAGCGTGTAGAGAAGGACATGAAGAAGGCCAAAGATCAGCTGAAGATCCGCAAGAGCAACCAGATACCTACAGAGGTCAAGAGCAAAGCAGAGGAGGTGGTGTCGTTTGTGAAGAAGAACGTTCTAGTGACTGGTGGCTTTTTCGGAGGCTTTCTGCTGGGCATGGCATCCTAGAGGGGATGACTTCACCACCATTAGTCCTAGCTTTGCCAACCAGCAGCCTCTTCCCTCCACCCTAGGACAGCAAACTCCTCCTCTTCCTCCTCCCTGCCATGGCGTATCTGAGTGGCTTCTGTAGGCATCTGGTGATTCAAGCTGGGAACGGCCCCAGTGGGAGCTTGACGGCAATGGAAGAGACCGTAGACGTTAGTGCTGATCTAGCACACTCCCCTGGGACTAGTCTGTAGGTCAGCAAGTATATTCCTTTCTCGTGTAAGATACTTACCAGAACATAGGACAAGATGACAACACCAAGTGGATCTTCAAAGGTTGCCCCACACTTGATTTGGAAAAGACATCGCAAGCATATAAGATACCTCATTAAGATTTGCATGGAAAGGAACTGAATACACTGGCCTTTAAGCATGAAAGATTTTGCAATTGTGGTGTCTACTTTCTATTTTAGTAGATTTGAGATTACAGAAAGAGAACTGCTCTTAGTGTGCGACAGTTGAAAAATCCGAATATGGAATGACCTTCTCCTAAAGTGACATATGATGAACTGAAGATCTGTTTGGTGGGAAGGTCTTTGGGGAAACCAAGCAGTTGATAACATTTAGGATGGTCAGACTTAGTGAATCGTTTAAAGGCATTCAGATATTATTTAGGGATGTTTTCCACCACCCTGGGTAATGCATTTCCTGGCTGCTTCCAAAGGTTTATTGATGGTAAAATAAGTGACTTTAGGTGTAAGAGGGAAGAAGCTCTTGGGTGTTTATTTAATAGAAAGGGTTTTAAGCTTTGAACTTTTCTTTACTTCCAGTCAAAACGTCAGGAGTAGCCCGTAGCTCCTCTGTGTCAATTCTATTTCTTTATCCAGAGTTTTAAAATGGTGGCATTTCCAAGCATTAAAAATTTAGAACAGTAGCATCAAAAATAAAAAAATAAAAAAATAAAAAACTGGAAATAGAATTGCCATATGATCCAGCAATCCCACTTCTGGGCATACACACTGAGGAAACCAGGTCTGAAAGAGACACATGCACCGCAATGTTCATCACAGCACTGTTTATAATAGCCAGGACCTGGAAGCAACCTCGATGTCCATCAGCAGACGAATGGATAAGGAAGCTGTGGTACATATACACCATGGAATATTACTCAGCCATTAAAAAGAATTCATTAGAATCAGTTCTAATGAGATGGATGAAACTGGAGCCCATTGTACAGAGTGAAGTAAGCCAGAAAGATAAAGAACGTTACAGCATACTAACACATATATATGGAATTTAGAGAGATGGTAATGATAACCCTATATGCAAAACAGAAAAAGAGACACAGATGTACAGAACAGACTTTGGACTCTGTGGGAGAAGGCGAGGGTGGGATGTTTCAAGAGAACAGCATCGAAACATGTATATTATCAAGGGTGAAACAGATCACCAGCCCAGGTTGGATACATGAGACAAGTGCTCGGGGCTGGTGCACTGGGAAGACCCAGAGGAATCAGGTGGAGAGGGAGGTGGGAGGGGGATCGGGATGGGGAATACATGTAACTCCATGGCTGATTCATGTCAATGTATGGCAAAAACTACTACAATATTGTAAAGTAATTAGCCTCCAACTAATAAAAAAAAAAGGGAAAAATAAAAAATGAAAATGGTAGTGCTGTTGAGGACTGATAAGAAGGACCCAGAGAGAAAACCCAGTCTGTTCTTCATGGAATCACGAGGAGGAAGGGCCATCCACCTGGGTTCCTGGGTTGTGGATGCTGTTGCTAAGTCGCTTCAGTCATGTCCGACTCTGTGGGACCCTGTGGACTGTAGCCTTCCAGGCTCCTCTGTCCATGAGATTCTCCAGGCAAGAATACTGGAGTGGTATGCCATGCCCTCCTCCAGGAGATCTTCCCAACCCAGGGATCGAAACCATGTCTCTTATGTCTCCTGCATTGGCAGGCGGGTTCTTCACCACTAGTGCCACCTGGGAAGCCCCTGTTGTGTCTGGGCCACTGCACATGTCACAGGAAAGGAGTGTGTGGCCAGGGCTTGAGATCTTCCATCATCAAGGGCTCAGTGATGCTCCTGTGCAGAGACCTAAGGTCATGTCACCTAGTCACTGTCAACTGAACTCGGCCGAGCAGTCTCCAGACGTACTTGCTCCTGAAGGTGGTCCAGCAGACGCCATATGATTGGGTTGGGGAGGTGCTCCCACCAGTGACAGGGAATGTCCAAAGGGTGCAAAAGCTGGCAGGTGCCAAGGAGATGGAGACCCACTTCCAGCATTCAGACAAGTATTAAGGATGCACACAGCAGCCTTGAGTAGAGAAAAAGAAAAAGTCTGAATAAGTAGGAGGTTTCTATTTTCTGACCCAGCACCCCTAGTCTGCCTGCTGACTCGGATTTCAGGACTCTCCTCTCTCATGGAAGTTACCTTATGAGGCCTCACACCTCAGGTGGATTTACGGTTTCCAGCTGGGTTGCTGCACTTGACCCAAGTCAGAGCTTCTGTCCACATGAAATTTTGGAAAACAATATAAGAGCAAAATGTTGGGTAAACATTGGCTCAACAAGAAAGGAATGTTTTTTACTTTGTTATTTCAAGTCATCTAATTCTTATGCTTTCCATTTTCCCCTGATAATATACAAACATGAATTTTCCACTTTACATTTTCTTTATTGGTAACTTCTTCAATGGCTAGATTCCAAATTGTCCAACATTCATGGAGATTTTAAAGAAGGAAATGGCACCCCTCTCCAGTACTCTTGCCTGGAAAACCCCATGGACGGAGGAGCCTGGTAGGCTACAGTCCATGGGGTCGTGAAGAGTTGGACATGACTGAGCGACTTCACTTTCACTTTTCACTTTCATGCATTGGAAAAGGAAATGGCAACCCACTCCAGTATTCTTGCCCGGAGAATCCCAGGGACGGGGGAGCCTGGTGGGCTGCCGTCTATGGGGTCGCAGAGTCAGACACGCCTGAAGTGACTAAGCAGCAGCAGCAGGGAGATTTATGTCACATTTTTTTCAGGATCACTTTTGGAGCTTAGAAACTTGGTATCATATTGCCATAAAAACAAAAAATTCAAGCAATAAAGAAATACTTTGTGTTCCCATGAATGTTCATGTCCTAAAAGTGCATCTGACTCCTGTTTCTAGTGATAGATGCATAGAATGTGAATACTTCAAATAGATCCCAGTTTTAGAAATGCTCTAAAAATACTTCTGAGTTTATCACAGGTATGCTAGTCACATTCTCTGACATGGCATGGCTTGCATTAAATAATTTCAAGTTCCACCTGTACTACATAACACTGTTTCTGGTTGAGAGGATAAAACTTATTAGAGGTCATTCCTTTACAGATAATGGATTTCATAGCAAGGGCAATTAAAACTGGATTCTTCATTATAATAGAAATTGTAAGAAACAGTATACATACAGAATCTGTAACACATGCAGAGAACCGCTGGAGTTCAGCAGGTATTTATACACATAATCACAGTAGGAACAGTTTGATACCAATTCACTTAACTTCTTGCCACCATCATCAGTGAGGAGCCTGGAGATGCTGCATGTTGTTCTCTGAACAGGAAACTCACTGGACCCTGAATGGTGTATAAAGATCCAAACACAAACTTACCATAGAGACTCAGCTTCTCATGGTGGCAGGAGCAGCTGCAGTGCCCAGAGGATGAGCTGACACCAGCACGGGCTCTAGTGGAACTGGCCTTGGAGCCTCAAGAAAGAGACCATGACTCACAGGCACTGAGTCCTCTTCTTTGTAAACAGAGGTCAGGGCATCACTAGGACAGCTTCCCAAAGCCTCTTCCTTCCTTCTGACTAAGGGAGCTCACACCCCACAGTCCCTCCAGGGAAGGGCTGCCATTTTCCCCCCGGAGCAGCCACTAGGTTCCCTGATGTGTTTCCTGTCGCTCAGCAGGCTGATCTCTGAGTGTCGCTTATGTCCAGGTGGCTGATGTCTTTGATCAGCTCTCTGTGTCCGCACTGGCCCGGAGGCAGGGCTGCTCGCACCGCAGGCTGAACCTACTGCACAGCCCTCTGAAATCTGGCAGATTCAATGTCACCTGGTCCATGAGCCAGACCAGCCCTCCACTATGGGGACTATGTAGTGTCCAGAAGTCATAGAGGCTATCAGATAATTCCTTTCAGAAAAAGACACATTCAACACCCTGGAAAGTGATGCATATCCCAGTCTTGTTTATGGGACCCATGAGAGCTCTCTTACCACTGGGGGAAAATTTTCTGTGCAATTTGGTATCAAGTGTTCTTGTCCAGAAATATAATCTGGACAACCAAGGGAGATCATCAACTACACAACGACCAGAAAATCACCAAGCAGCCCGAAAAGATTCCCAACTCATTGCAGACAACTTTGTTTTGACACAATTTCTAAACAGGTGCTCCAGTTAGGAGGGTTTAAGTTGGACCTATCTTTGCGTGAATCTGCTGTCACCTGGGCCTTTTGTCAAAAGTGTCCCAGGAGACAGTCAAGTCCATTTTCTAATACACATTGCATGTTTTGCTCCTAAGTCTCTCTTTATTTGCCTATCACCTTGAAGATTTTGGTGCTGCGAGGCTGGAAATTTACTTTATGCCTCCTCTCTCCTTCTATTGTGCTCTCTCTAAATCTGTTTTCTTTTATTTCTGCAATTCTTTAACATAGACATATTTTCTCACCTGCTTCTCATTCTTTCTTTTTTCGCTATGTTCTAAATGTCATGAACTCCCAACACTAGAAGTGTAGTAACCACCACTAGCAGTTGAGCTTGTGCATGAGTGCTCAGTTGCTTGTCATATCCACCTCTTGTGACCCTATGGACTGCAGCCCACCAGACTCCTCTGTCCATGGGACTCATCAGGCAAGAATACTGGAGTGTGTTGGCATGCCTTCCTCTGCGATCTTACTGACCCAGGGATTGATCCTGACTCTCCTGCACTGCAGCTGGTTTCTTTACTGACTGAGCTGCCAGGGAAGCCCAGAAGTTTAGTTTATACCTTGACAATGATTTGACTGGACCTTGAAACATGATTGTCTGTTTCAAACAAAGAGGTTTTGCATGTTTAGGTTGATTGTGACCAGCAATTATTTGGTATATTTTTATAATAGAATAAACAAGTTGTCCTCCTTATAAAAGAATAAATTATTTTGGGGCAATTACCTGGAACAATAGATTTCTATACATGCTAATAACTGGTTTTATAAGTCACAAAGTCTGTGAGGATAC